GTAAAATACGGTAAATGATTACTTTACAATGAACCACTGGGACGATAGGGCATCGTTGCCCTGCGATATGCTGGGATCCTGTAATCACGGGCCGTTGTTGACCTATAAGTCTTGCCTTCACTAAACTTGACGTGTAACTTTGGATTGGCTTGGAAAACTTGCAAAAAAAGTGCTAGAACTTAACACAATACTGATATGAGGTGTCATTTTGTTAGAGATACGGGGGGTTCCACTTCTAGGTGAGCTCTCCCATTTCTTGTCCAGATGCATGTTCTGTTTGTTTGACCAGTTCTCCCCAAGTCCAAAGGTGACTAGTATAAAGTCTACACTTTGTCTCCCGCGTCATGGTGCGGGTTTTTAAAATGCTCGCGCTGCCACCATTACCGCTGTCATAATGAAATGATATTAATGCACGCATAAACGGATTAGGTCTCAGATTGAAATATCGCCCGGGGTATGTTTTATCCAATAACTGGTCTGCCCGTGCACTGGTTATAAATAGCCCGTGTGGCCTGTGTGGTTATTGGAAGAACGTCATTCTGGGTGGGTAAATTGAAGAGAATTTTCTCGTCTCAGTTTGGAAAATGACAACCTCTGTCATGAGCCACTTATCCTGTTTTAATGGAGAAATTGGAAGTTGCTGTACTTTCCCTTTTCATCCATTATCGTGCCAACACAATGCTTGAAATTCCGTGGGTGGAAATGGTTTTTCTCTCCATTCAGGACCACTGTATTCCTGTACCGTATTATTATACTCCCCAGGAAACGGGAACAGCCCCGCAGCACCTGGTGACGCATTTCCATTGGGCCTCGGGTGAGAGTTATGGCGGTTTGTAAAAAAAATGTAAGAGTGGGCCTGTTATGGCAGCTCCTACGCAGAATTCCTATAATCCGATTTGGGACGGGAATTGGTCCAGAGCGAAGCGATCCGCTTTTAGACACGAGATGAAGACAGATCATTGGTTAAAACCGCTGGAATCCTGGCGGTCGAGGGAAAGAGATTTTTGTGGTCGGCACAAATAATTTAACTTGGAGATCTCAACAAAGTGTTCGAGGGAATAGTATTATCTGAAATACGATACAACAAATTTGGGGCTGGGTCTTTTAAAGGATTCCTGCAATGATTTTGTTTGAGACTCACTTTTTGACTTTACTGTACATCTTCATACATTCTTAAATGTAGGCTATGAAAACTGCTTGAAATCCATTTTGAAAAGTGCTCTTGTTAGAAAGCATTAGAAACTGTTCATATTCTAAACCCCAGATTAGCTCTTTGGAGAGATGGATGTTAGTTTCGTGTGTGTGCACAAATCAGTGCGTCATGGAGGTTGAGTTCTGGATGACATCACACTTTTGGACATGAATATGGAAATTCACATCATAAAATCTAAAGGTCAAAAAATTCAGATGAACGTAGCCAAACAAGAATCGAAAATAAGGTTTATTGAAACACCAAGGTGCGATTTCAAGGATTGTATTAAAATAACCGTGTCGTATGGTTCCTTTAAAAATTGGCTAAAGTCGTTGTTTGGGGTGTTATTCTGTTGTGATTTAATAATTTGTTTCATTTCTTTAACCCTAACAGTCCCAAATCCTCCAATTTCAATATGATTCTGCATATAAGCCCTAATTGGCTCATGTGTTCTTATTCCTCCGTGGGTTAATCATCACTCAGTTTCAGAGTAAAGAGGGTAATTGTTTTGCAGAAGAGATAGGATCGTTATTAACTATTGTATTACGCTTCTTTCTATTATGTCTGTCGTGTCATTTAATTAAATGGGATGAGATTCTGAGCTTTCTGTTAATAAAGATTGGCCTAATTCTCAAACGCTTTAGTAATAGTTTTATAATGCAAACATTTCCATTTCCTCAATTTGCAAGAAGTTTTATCGAGGGAATGGTGTCTTTAAAGGTCAGCGAACCGTCTCCCTAGTTGATCACGTCTTGTGTAGTCAATTACGCAACTGGATTGTCAGCAATTAAAAATCCAGAACGGTATACGTGTTATTGTCTGGCTGCTGACCGACATCGCGCCACACAAGCTGTGCGTTACGTCACCCCGGTCCCATGATGAGCGCCTCGCCAGTGGATTCAACCTTTGGTCGTCCGGTTCCCCATGTGTAAAACCCCAGGGTGCTTCACACAACCCGTGCGTTCCCCAGTGAGGCTCTCTCCTGCGTGGCTTTGTCAATCACAGATCGATTGATTGAGGCCAATACGATTACTTGATTGACACGAAGTACTTTTTTTCTGTCATTAAATCATCCTTTTATTCTCATCAAATCACCTTTTGGTGTAGCTTTGGAGAACTGAGTTTTGACTACGGAGACTACCACCCTTCGTCTGTGCATTGGTGAAAGGACTGAAGGAACAGATGTCGTGATCAAGCCATAGATGAAAAAACTAACTCTAAACACTAATTCTGAGTCATAGGCCTACTAGTTGTAACTTTCGGGATGTAAAGGATGATCACTTTTTTGACAGAAATCGGTCGCTATGTATGACCTTCGCCCAGTACTCCTCTGACAACAAATATTAGTTTGTTTTTTCTTAAATTTACGGGGTATGTTGAGCTTCTCAGAAAGTGAATCTTTGTGCGGAATCGCAAAATTCATTTCCGTCAGCAAGTTGTAGAATGTGAGTGGCATTTTCAAACTGCGTAGCTTTGAACTTTTCTTAATGCCGTCAAATTTCCGGATGTACTCGTCGAGTAATAGCTGGTCAATATTGATTTATGAGCTCTGCATGCGTTCCTGTCCCCGCTGTAAAATACAGACCAGTTTGACATGTCTGGCGTTTGGACGTCAAGGCTGAATTCCCTTGTGGTGTCGAGAGGCGTTTTCGATGTGGTGTCGCAATCGAAGAAAGAATCGTTTTCTTGCAGACAAGCAAGCGCCAAAGCAAGCAGTTGAGGTGGTAGGTGGAGGCCTGTGAATTTCATTTGCGCCGCGCTGGGCACTACAATTGGATGATGGATGATGGCTTGACTGAGGCCGGCCCCGAATCGGACATAGCTTATTTGTACTAAACCGGCGTTTGAATTTACAATGCGAATTCGATAGTGTTGACGTCCGAGTGCTGGGAAATTGATTGCACTTGCTGATTGTCTGTGCAAAAGTTGTAGACCTAGATTGATTGCTGCTCAGGTAACGGGCCCTGTCTCTTATTTTTTTTTGTTCGATATTAATCACCCATTTTTATATTTGGCTTTCCTTCACCAAAACCGGCAATTTTAATTAGCTTTTATTTTGTAAAAAGAGCACGAATCGTGATTTTGAAAGATAAGTATGTTTCTTTTCCCCGTTGTTTTTAGTTTCCACTGGATGATATCGGCAAAGCTGTGTAAACAGATTGCAGTAAGTGAGGACAGTCCTCAGTTTCCAAAATTTTGAGGATGTGCTTTTCTCTAACATTCATGGCAATCTAAGTCACTTAGAAAATCGCGTCATTTTAAATTGCCATATACTTCGATTGGGTACAGAATCACCAGTCGAAAATCGTTCCGCTACGCTTCGCATAGAGGATTCCATCGCCCAGTATTTTGGCCATTTAATTAGTGTCTTTCGTCCGTCAACAGAAGAGACTGGAAGAATGGCCCGTGTTCACGAGATGCTTCCCCCAGTCAATTAGTCCTAAGTGAACCCCCCGCTGGGTCTATTAGTTTAGCCAAGGCTCAGCCTGTTCCTAACACCCATTTAGTTTTGCCATAGAGCAAAACCCGTATTTTCCCAGAGCACAGCGAGATCATGAGTGATACAGATTTTGCTGTATTTAGATGCAGTTTGTTTTTACCGAGCTTTAACCAGTCATGCGCAACTAATAAAGTAGAGGAGGTTTTTATATTTCACAGCGCAAACGATGTTCTCTGTGCAAATGTCCCCGTAGAATTTTAACACCAGTATAATGAGTTCAGAAGAAAAAGCGAGTATTTTTGAAGGAGTTGCAAAGGAAATCAATTAACTCTCCTTGGCCAAAATGGTGCAATTGGCCTTTCTTTGAATGAGGTATTCAGTTGGGAACACAGGGCACTGTATATATGGTGCGAGAGATTTTTTTTCTTATTTAATGTTTTAGGTTAGTAAAACTGTAACACATGCACTAGCATCAGCGTTGCTCGGTTAGATTAGAACGGCCTGTTTGTATGAGTCGAGAAGTGTGTACTGCATGAACTGTTTAATATTTCTCCCTTCCCAGAAAAAGTACATACACATGCACTTTCTTGACATAACCTCCATCAAGCAAAGATCTTGTGATTATTGGATCTTGCCGCTATGTTACACCGAAAAGGTGGTCCAGTAGATCGATAACCCACCAAGGGATTCCTTTGTTATTTCCCCCGAACAACCCCACGGGCTGTGCACCCATATTGCAACCCGCTAAGGCTGGGGCAGAACGGGCGTTCACAAGTCACCATTCAGCCGAAGAATGGCGCATTGAGCTGGAAATTTGCACAATTTACCGGGACAAACGCTCCTGATTTCCCATTCACCGGCGCTGATCCGCTGAGAATAACGCCTGCGCTAAGACCGCACTTGGAACCGAGGGCTTAACAAGTACGGTTGTTTTGTGCGTGCAAGCTGCCGCAGAGGTCCAATAGGCGAGAAGCATATCCCGTACAGTGTTTATTTTCTATTAGGTGTGACAGCTGGCGAGAGGTGCACAGTGTGTTGCGATCGAGTGTAAAGTCACTGCTTGGTTGGCAAACGGAGAGGGGGACATTCGGCTTACCATTGCTGTATGGGTTTCTGTCTGCCTGCTGTATCGGGGAAAACGGACCAACTTATATCTTAATAGTACCGTAACCAGACGGTAAAGTATTTGGCGGCGGGCCCTCGGCGGTAATATACCATTCTATTCAGTCGTGAAAATTGGGGTTTTGGAAGGCCAAGGCCAAGACACGATGTTAACCGGGCTGCCCGGGCCGAGCTCTGTTCAGCTCGCCGCCTGGCGTGACAGCATGATTGATGTGTGACTATGCCACTCTATTTCCGTACCAACAGAGTGAACCGCGCTAGCATCTCATCAGCAGCAGCAGTCGCGGCAGTTCGACCGTCGGAGCCTGGCGAGGCGGCAGCTACATGGATGGTTATGGGGAGAGGACAGCGCTTCCACCGCGCGTCGACGGGCCAAGCCACGGCCGTTGTTTTCTACGTATTCCTGATCATCGCCATGTTAATCTCCACAGGTAAGGCGTGATCTACTGCTTATATTTCACGGGCAGACGATCAAGAGAATCCGTCGGGCCCCATTGTTGGGAGGAAGGCATGCAATTTACGTTCCAGACGAAATGGTATTGTGAACACCACACACAGAGAGCCAAAGGACGTTTTCTCTTTTGTGCGCGCAATGCCCGGTTTGTGTTAACTGATGAAGCTCTGTTGGCTGCTCGTAATACATAATCGTAATTATATACCATGATTGGTTAGACGTCTGTGCTTTTTGATTGGGTATTGGCGAGTGCCTTGTGATGGTGGTGGGTTTCTTTTCCTACCGCCATGGTTACTTAAATTACCTGTTTTGCTGGGATCATTTTCAAACGTTTGACATCCCAATTGTGAACCCCAAGATCTTGAGATACATGTAGTTACACACGCACAGTGCGGCCATATACATGTACTGTAAATCAATGGGGTCCATATTATCAATGTATTATCATGTACATTGCTGTGTGATATCGGTACATGTGCGTGCTGATCGTGCAGCTTAAACTAGTGCCCGTTTCTATTGCTTAATTTATCGACAGTTGACCATAGTAATTAGCAGTTGAACATGATTTAATTTGCATATTACTCTGGGAGGAAAGTTGGACCTTTGGCTTAGGTCTGAATCGAGTAAATAAAGAAGTGTATGTAATCGATGCATGTGATCTTGTGAAATTTGCCACATTAATGTTTTTTTGGCTACCTTTCGGTTAGAAAACAAAATAATCGATTTTAATCAGAGCAATGAAACTACAAAGATCTTTTCATGCTATTTATTTTTTCCAGTGTCCTCTGAATGTAAATTGAAGAAGTGTTCTCAAAGATACTCCCAAAAGCTGACAGAGAACGTTCGACGCAACCCCAACCGGAGATACTGTCAGGCTCTAGTGGACTACAAAAAATGTGTCATGGATATCCCGCCCAGGTCCTGCCGTGGAGAGCTAAACTACCATTCCACCCTCTCCATCATCCCAGACCTGATGGAGCAGAATAACTGCGAGGCCATTCTGGCCGAGGAAGAGGTGCCCACCACTCCACTGCCAAGTGGGGCCAACCTGCCCCGTCACCGGACGACAGTGCCCCCAGCCCCGGAGTTTTACGATCGATGCGAGTATCGGGGTGAGCGATCCTACAAGAGCTGCAGCCTGTTCGGGGACCCACACCTGAGGACTTTTGATGGGTCATTTCAGACCTGCCGGGTGGCCGGAGCCTGGCCGGTCTTCTACAATAAGTATGTCGCTGCCCAAGTGACCAATGTCCAGCTTCTACATGGATCGGGTGCTACAGCCACGACCAAGGTGAGTATGGAACTTGTCACAGTGAATACGGGCCAACAATTGTGCGCCTCCAAGAGTTTGCAACGCGTTGGCCAATCACAATGCGCGATTTTCCAACTTTATTGTGGAAACGTCTTAATTCCTAGCAGAATTTCAACACATAAATAATTCCGTGGCATGGTATACGTTTCTGAATATTAACGACGTTAATTAAGATAAAGAAACAATTTTGTTGACAACAAATTTTGATTATTGAACCCCACCATAATTTTATGGTTTTAAAAAGGTGACAATTAGAATGTCTTGGATATTAATCCATAAACATGGGAACAAGTAAAACACGCGAATGATAAAATAAGGGAAAGCACAATAATTTCCTGTTGCATTGTCGCTATAGTCATTCGGTACTGTAAAATATATGTTGATGATTTTCTTCTCTTGTGTGTTCGAACTTCAAAGAGTGAAGAAAACTCCACTGAAACTAATCTTGGCAGCAAAACAATACGAAGATCTATACGGAACTGAGAGTCGAAACTGGTACTTCTGGAAGGAATTGGGAAATGATAATTGATTTCTTTGAGCGCTGTAATTTTTTTTGTAAAGCTTCAATAATATCGGGCATTGGCCGTTATGAATAATGGACTTGGTGAGATGGAGTTGACCATTTCGACAGCCATGCCAATAAAAACACCACGGCACGCTGCTGTATTCGCCATGGCGTCGGCAGTAATTTCTCACAGCAGCACGTCGCCCCAGTTCCATTCCCAGAAGGCCAGCTCGGCTAGCCTGGCGCTACCCTCTCTATCCAGCGCGTCCACCGCGTCCACCGGGCCAGTGTCCGTGACCAATGCTAGCTTGGGCTCTCGCAAATCATTCCAGCCCTGTCTGCAATATTGCAGAGCCATCTACATTCCGTCACATTAGGAGCAATTTGTTGACACTCTCTCCTTGTTCTGTCAAGGGCGCGAGGAAGGTCAAAACTGGCTCTGCTGCGCCATTTTTAGAAAGAGCCGTTCATGACATGAGATTCATGCACAATATGGCCCTCAAGAAAGCGCACTCCACGTGAAAAGATGACGCTGAGAAATATAGTCAAATCGTCCATAAGAACGACAACTTGCATAAAAAAAAATTGATTATTAAACTAAACACCTTTGTAACAATTTGGTTCGTTTAGCACGCCCACTTCGATCATACATAGTCTCCCGCACTCCTCACAAATCACAGGATCTATCAAACAACGTATGTTATGTGTGCTGTGTTGTTTACGAAATGATATTTTCAAGGTAAACACTCGTTTGTTATGAATAAAATTATAATTTCTGCGTAGCTCTAAACAACATGGATATAAATCACAGTGTGTCGGTTAATTTAATGCAAATTTATATAATAAGCAGTGTGTGGAATTCGCTTGATTTTGCTGGGGAAGGAATTTCGTTTGGTTCACTTTAAGTTGATAAATCTAGAAATAACAGGGCCTATTTACCATGAAACTGGTATTGATAATGTTCACACGCACAGCACTGCAGATATGAGTTTGTCTAAAATTATTGTACCATTTTTAGAAGTGGTCAGTGAAATGAATTGTGCTTCAAGCTGTGTACGATTGACCTGCTGATTCTGACCCCTGTCATCACCCGAACCGATCCATCCCCTCCAGTCTACCCGCATAATCCCCCCCAATTCGCCAGATAAAAACATGTCTTGCTCCCGCAGAATGGCCATTGTCAGCACCAAATACCGTCGTAAATACGGCCCCTGAAAGTGGGCACAAAATCCCCCCTCTTGTTCCGATGGCGCGGGCAAACAACAGCCCACCCTAAAGCCTGGGCCAATCTAAAAACCAGTTGTCAATTTGGAGTTGGCCATTGTGTGCCGAGCCCCCTGGTTGAGTGTTTTCTTTTAATTCCTCCCCCAACCCAATTTGCAAGCTTTTGGGCCATGTTCTGAAACTGTGTTCTCTATTGTCGAGCGTCCCTCTGCATGTATGACAATACTCCTTGGTCGGGATTAGGTTATTGGCGTGTGGATGTATGCAAATATTCTGTTCAGCAAGCTTTCTTGGAATCCCCACAAACGACAATCCAATTGATCCAAAATACAGACAGGGAAAGAAAGAAAGACGTCAAAGTGTGGTGTATTTATCCTGGAATTTACTTCTTGTTTTGCATAGTGAAGATACATCATTACATGTACATTGAGAAATCCATCTACAACTTAGTGTTGAAAAACGGGGGGGAACTAAAAGGTAATGTCAGAAATGGAACTTGCTACTGCAAAATTTGTGTAAATCCATAAACTACATCAGGGCATGGAGATGGGGACTCAACAATATTGCTTCGCATCACCATGGAGGTAGATATAGAAAATCTACCTCCATGGCATCACCAACGCATAAAGTGCAATGAAGTTTCACAACAATCGCTCAGGTCCCCAAGCATTCCATACCCTGTAGGTCGTCTATCTGAAGTTCTGGAGGCGTTAATCATAAAGCCACCACGGCAACATACTGCAGCAAGGTTTTAATTTTCCTATGCAAGCTCGATGCAAGGGTACCGTTTAATACTGGCGTCTTCATTTTTTAAACATCATCAAGCATTCTATCTCCCCACTTGTCCCCGATTTGTGAACTGAGGCGTCCGCACAGCCCCGAGTTCTAAGTCGACCTTTGACACTGTTTTGATAAGTGCTCAGGGATCATGCTCACTGTTCTCACAGTTTGAAGCACACAAAGAAGTCTATAGTTCTACCGTCATAAGGCTTGGCCAGCCTACCTTTTTCAGTGAACTGAATTTTGCGAGACCTATTCATTTCTGGGATACTGTACTCAAAATAATCCAGGATACTTTGTTACCAAGCACAGTAGTTGTGACCTTATATCATGTATACGTGTTACTAGGCATGGGTCTTATGTTGCCCCCGGTGGAGTTCGGTGACATAATGGGTTTTATCCCCGGTTATGCCGTCCCATTGTCAGGTTACAATTGTCCATTGATTAATATCTCAAACCCATTAAGTGCTAAATTGGGTCATGCATCGATCATTTCCGCGACTGCCATCGATCAATCGCGGAAATCAATTGGCAGCGTTAACCTGTGTCCGATGTTGCCATGAATGTGACCAAATAACCGACTTGCGTGCCATAAACATGCGTTGTCGCGGCATGAGCTCGATTGTACGCCCAACACCACAGCTAGCTTCCCCTCCCTCAAAATTGAAATGAATTCACAGTCAACTTAACATCAATAAACCACTAGCTGTACCCACCAGTGGAATTACAGTTGAGAAACGGCGCGGTACTAATTTTTCTCTACGCTGTGATTGTTTTGCAGTGAAGCTTCAGAAGTGTGACCTCCTTCTTCTACTCACACACACTAATAAGAAGTTTCGAAGTTCATATCGTTGACAGTGGAACTACATTCAATCATTGTGATAAACAATTTAGCAATCCCCCCTCGCCTCTTTTTTTCATAAATTTTCGTTATCCTCGTTTATTACCTTGCACATGGCAGGAAACTTGGCTGTTAAAAACCACACGAGGCTCCCGCTGCCTTTTCCCGCTGGCTCCACGCACCCCCTTTGTCCCCGGCCCTACTTTGGTGTGGCCTAGCCAGCAACGTCCATGCCTCATTTCTCGCTTGGCTGGCCCGCAATTTTTAGCTTGAATATCCTGTTTAACGGTTAACTGAGCAGAGTCGGTCATGGCTATCGCCAGAGCTTAATAGATGTACGCGGACTGTATATGAAGGCTTTTCCCGTACACCCATAATGTATGATCACTGTGGATGAAAAGCCGTATGGCTTAGCACAGAGCTCTGCCTGCGGCAAGGATTATTCACTTTAGCCCCGTGTAGTATATAGCTGCACGTTTTATTGCTATAGAACAAAATGGCTGCCGAAATCTGCTGTTCACGACAAACATCATTATACATGCACAACGCAGCGCTGTCAAGCAGAGGCGTTTGTTGCAGTCAGAGGATGCTAAATATTATTAGTTGGTAGCATTACACGAATCCGCCCTTGACAAACAGATTCAGTATCGTCTGTGCTGACTGACAGAAAAATTTGGTTATCCTGAGTGCCATGCCACTGTGTGTCTGTAGTCCGCAACAGGAATTGAATTCTGAACACGGCCACACATTAGACAGGAGATGGCGTGCTCTGTTAGTGCGTGCGTTGAACGTTTTACAAGCCCGTTGTCCACAAAGGAATTGTCGGGTGTTTACATTAGCTTGTCAGCAGTGTGTAAAGACGTCATTAACATAGATTTTCCACAATTTGCTTATTTAAGCTTCACTTCTGTAGACTCTTGAGATTTGTCAAATTAACCTGATGCTTTCAGCAGTTAATATTATTTTCCATGTTTAAAAGTGGAAACCCATAGTGGTGATTTGATGATCTCACTTCCACCCCAGAATTTCTGTTTTGATTTAGAAAGGGAAACTGTTGTTGACAGAATTATCACAGTCATTTGAAATTGAGCAACGATGCCACGAGAGCTGCCATAACTTCACTCATGACCGTACATACACTACTGCAGCAATTGATCCGTACAACATTCATAATCGCCGTCCGTGATGCATGCATGAAAGAGTTCGGAGTTCACCTACAGTACAGCGTGAAACGAGTAATAATTATCGGAACTAATCTCGTAAAAACATCAAAAGAAATCACACCAGGGGAAAACACTGATTGAATACTCTATAGAAAAGCATGTCAATCGGTGATTGGCTACGTTTTTATCCATGCTGCAAATCATCCTTGATATTTGTTTCCCCCCATTTTCTTTCGAAACGTTTGTACTCAGTAAATGAAAAACCACCTGGATTCGGACGAATGTATGTATAACTAAGAGAAAAGCTTTGGCTTTAGATCAGAGGGATTTGAAAGATCATTTTAATCCGTGCGTATAGGTTTTAGTTTGATAACAGATACCAGAGAACTGAACAAAAATTAAAGGTATTAAACTCACGGTGGCTTCTCGCAAATACCAAGTCTTGTTGGTACTGTCGCTTGTCTCTATGCGCATGATCAGTCCAGCAGATGCACATGCATTACACAAATTAATCACTCCATATACACTCGGGGCCCAATGCAATTAGACCCACTTTAGCCTTAAAAGATTTTAATCACGCAGATTTCCCTCTTGATCTATCACACCGCATGCACTTTCAGCCTTTTAAAGAGCACCGCTGGCCCTTTTTTGGTTATGACGAATTTTTCAATAACGACTCGTCACCCTCCCTGTCTGTATTTTCACAGTTGTCCGTGATCGTCAAGGGACACAGCGAGTGTGCCGAACGCAAGCTGTACCTCGCCCAGACCGGCAATCTCCCGGGGGGCTTCGTGGACGGCACCCGGAGCTCTGGTCCGGAGGGTAGGGGAGTGTTCATCTTGGAGGTTGTCCCAGACAAGCACGTGGAGATCCACATCCGCTACATCGGCACCGTGATCATCATCCGACAGATCGGGGAGTACCTCCTGTTCTCCGTCCGAATGCCGGAGGAGATCATCAAGAGGCAAGGCCCGGAGGATCTTCAGCTCTGCGTCCGGGGTTGTCCCGGACGGGAGAAGATCGACTATGTGAAGTTCTTGAAACAAACTAAAGACGTGGACCAGGAGAAACTGCAAAGAGCCATTGCCAAGTGCCGGCAGACCAACGTAATCGACGTGTACCTGGATTCCTGCGTGTTTGATTTGCTGACGACTAGCGACGACAATTTTACCAACGCGGCTGAAAACGCCCTGCGGGACATCTCACGGCTGCAGCCCAACGCGTCCCTGTCCCTCCACAACAGAACTAGTGTCTTTGAAGACAGCAAGATACTGGCAGCCCTGCCCCCAAGGAGGAACGGTGCACCTCCAAGAACTCACATATCCATGACTGCCCTCACGCAATTTGCAATAGTATTACTGGCACTTTGGGCGTCGCACCAGCTAACAACGTGAAAGACAAACAATGTAACATAGATGCAACTTATTTCTTTTAACTATCAATATTATTTTGCAAACCGTAAAGATGATATATATAATTTGTACATAGAAGTGTACATAACTATACATACTTCAAAAGTGAAACTGCTAGCCACGTTGTACCACCGTTTATAATTATTGCTAAGATGTACATAATGGTGAGGATAAAATACTATATGATCTGAAGTGTATTTACTTAATATTTTGCAGTCTTTGTAAATGGAAGGGACTGCATTACAGCAGATTATGCCGTCTCTTTAAAAGATAGAAACTCGTTATTATTTTTATTAGAAACAAGCTTCACAGTAACTAAAAGGTGTGGGAAGGTATTTGGAATCCCAGAAGTGGACGAGTTGAATACGAAAATGAAAATAGCAGATAACACGGAACGCATTACAAGTAAAGTTTTCCGCCAGTCTACAACTGAAGCCATCGTGTAAATTCGATAATCAATATGAAATCCATATCGAAACGATAATGAGTTACTCCTTCCAACGGTTTGGATTGTAAATTGAGTCGGTACCAAACGAAATCAATCTGATATGTATTATGGTTGAAGGGGCAAACATTTCGCTTTAATACACAACACCTGCTGGGTGTGAACCCAGCACACAGACTTAATCATCTTAGTGCCCCACTCTGTTACTTGATGCACCAAGCATGCATTGTTCTCCCAATCTGCTGTGCATGTACAAATGCACCTGTATTAAAACGCCTTCCTAGTCGATTGAAGTTAAAGTTCTGTGCTCTTGTGCTCGGAAGATTGTACGGAGAATGATTTGTGTGTGCACGTCTAGTCTAAAATCCTTCTTTGGATAATATTCACCTTTGTCGCTCATAAATCTTGTGCGAAGGGTCGCCAGTGTGGGTTTTTTTATACACTGAAATACATTTCGATTTTTCACGGATGTTATTGCGTTAGTTTACCCTGGAAACCTTGTGCTCACATAATGACACACACCGGACAACGTCGTGTGCTATGTGGTGGCAATGGATGTTGTACAAGAAAATGTACGACTCTTACACTGATTCATTTCGGAGGACATGCTATGAGCCGTTTATCACACAAAGTATTTATTAGGAGCAGATCCTTCAGTTTTATTGGCAAACCTATGTGTTGTTTTCCTGCTAAGTTTGGTTAATGCATCCGTGATATGCACACTAGTCTTGACTCCATAACAATACTAATATTAAGTTACAGCTCGTAGCTAATACAAAACAGGTCAATCACGTCACCGACTTTTAAATGTTACTGTTATTAATGTTCACGCTGGCACGCGAGCAAAGCATCCGCTGTAATATTGGTTGAATGTGACGTCTAGAAACGTAAAGAACATGGCAACATATTCACGTTCACGTGGAGTATATGAACCAAAAATGTGTTTTTGCAACACAAATTCGAATTTCGAATGTTTCAAAAGCCATCCAGAATGTGGTCAAAAATTGTGATACATGTATCATGCCTATTGATGGAGCATACTGGTCTCTAGCCTACTCTAAGCCCAGCGTCACCTTAAAAAACGTTAAAAGCATTTTGCCAATGCCAGTGGTTTATGCTCATTACTTTTGTTCTTCGGTTTTGTACGTACGCTAGCGTTTTTTAGTACAGTAATATTATTCCTTGTCACCGTCTAAGAAATTTTTTGCCCGCAGATAGTTAAACTTCTAGTAGTTTAAACATAAAGTTGCAGCTTCCGAGTATACACGCAGTATATTATTAGTATTCAGAGACAGAAATCAACAGGTTAATGTGCACATTCGTAAAGGGGGATTTTTTATCTGTGGTGATAATTACAAGGAGTGGATACAAGTCGGTCTTTATCGGTGACGTTATTCATTTTACGTCGTAAAATGTATGCTATTCTCGAGTTTTCTTAAATGTGTGACTGGGTTTGGTGAAGTGGCTTCCAAACCGTCACTACTGTAAACCGACGCTGTATTTAAACAGATGTATACATTACAAAATAATTGCAACTGTACCCATGGCTTGATTAGCCATGTTTGCTGATGACATCGCTGATTTTTTCTTGTTTTCTTTTTTTTTTTTGGCAGTTTTTGAAGAGAAAAAAAAATTAAATTTATAAGTTAAAGGAGTCTTGGTGGTGTTTGCGGTTTGTTTTCTTTCCATTGAGGTCACCATTCTGATAAGTAAAACTACATGTATATACACATCGTGATTGATGTCCCTGGTACTAGATTTCCCGGATTATGATGCTTTTGAAGCACCAGTCGAGGAGTCGGGGTGGTATTTTGGCCAAGTTTGTGAAGTGGCAAGGTGGACATGGGGCCCTTTTTAACGACAGCCTTTGTTTGGGAAGTACATGTAGTGTACAATGGACGTTTTCTTGGAAACAAGGCTTAGACTCGTACACCCGCCCATTTTATCGGGGAAAGGGAAAAAAGTTTAAAAGCCAAGGGCTGTTCCAACACGCCACCGTTATGTTTGGTTTTTTTTGGGGGGGGTGGTTAGTACTTGGAGGGGGACTTTTGAGGGGTTGAATCATTTTCGAATCGGTTTCTTTACTTTTGCAAAGAAATATTTGTTGCCCAGTCAACCGGACCCCTTTTCTAAAAATCTGCATGAACACTTCCTTCGCCCTCTTAAGCCCATGCAAAACAAGCTATTTTAAACACCAGTTCGGTTTTACTGGGATTGTCGCAATTGAAAAAATACAATTGATTTGCTAATTAAAAAATTACAGTTGTCATGAATTTCTGCAGTCCTGTTATTATTTACTGTTAATTCAGATTAACAGCGATACCCCACTTCACTTTAAGTCAAGTGCATCTCCGATTATTAAACTAAACAAATACAGGAAATACAAGCAAACGAAAACCATAAAATGGATGAGGGCCCTCTTTTGACATTTGTTTGACACATATTATGTCAGCAAGCGTGATTCTGAGTTTGTGAGTTGATAAACGGTTGAAAACTTGAAACAGCAAAATATCAAAACATTATTTGAAAGTCTTCGAAATAAACATTGGGAAACGCATAACATTAAACATCAAAACGGGGTTCGGCAAGAAAAAGGGAAGAACACCAAGCAAATCCTATGCCACGCCTCCCAAGCGGTCACATTGAGAGTCTTGCTGTCGCGATAAAAGCACTCCCATGTAACGTGCACGGAATACGGGCCTTTCATAATAGTGCGCCTCCAAGAGTTTGCAACGCGTTGGCCAATCACATTGCGCGAAATTTGTCGACCTAATGCGTGTTTGGAAAGGGTCGACAAATTTCGCGCTTTGTGATTGGCCAACGCGTTGGAAAATCTTGCAGGCACACTACTGTGAATCGCCCGTATTAATCCTGAAAGAGCCGAGTTATTTTGGCCCATCTCACAGCCGCCACCCCGCACCCCCAACTCGACTGTGCCAGGCTTGATTTTTTTTAGGGGGGTGGGGTTGGGGAACTTGTCATGCATGTATAGACACTCCTTATCATTAGTGTGGAGTTTGAAATCAACCAATCTTTTTGTTGTTAGAGTCATTTTAACTTCAAGGCTACTTGCGTGCGTTCAGCACCGCAGTGGAAAGAGTATTTTTGGTTAACCCGTCTGTGAAAAAAATGCGCGCTACGCAAGAACGGGTACGTGCAAAATTGGTGTCAAAATGACCGCAAGGAGTGACCGGTACTCTAAAACTCCTAAGGGCTCGACTCCTGAAAAAAATGCGGCGATATGGAACAAATGTTGAGGCGAGGGTGTATTCCGTTCCCACTTCGGCTCTTTTGTGGAAACCGGTGCTTTTAGATTGGGAATCATGTGCTATGGGGGACGAAAAGTGGCCATCTACTTTTCTGCTGTCAGGATAGTAGAAAAGCAGATTTTACGTCTTTGTAACAATTTTTTTATTTTTCTACTTTTCTGCTACCTCAAAAGCAGAATGACCATTTTATTGTAATGCATTTTTCCACTTTTCTGCTTTTCTGCTACAACAAAAGTAGTTTTACTTTTCCTTATTTTGACGGCGGCCGAAAAGTGGCCATCTGCTTTTTACCTGTCAAAAAAGCAGGAAAGTGGATTGAACGTTTTGACGACAACCGTGAATTCAACTTTTCTGCTTTTGTGATACCGGAGAAGCAGATTTTACATAGGTGGCCAAAAAGTGGCCATCTGCTTTTCTGTCCTCAATGGGCCGTGAATGGGGTCATGAACCGGTAGGTTACGACCATTTCCGTTCTGGGGGAGTGAAGACGTATAGATACCAATATGTAAAGTACGCTTTCTGGGGACCTATGAGGCAGAGAAAACAGCATCTCAAAGGAAATACAGTTTTACAGCTATCATCCAATAGACACACAAGCTTGCTTGGGCCAAGGAGCCAAGGAAACCATGCGAATCTTTCATTACAAAAGATAGGGTGGAGTGTAATTATTGATTTATATGTCTTCAATCCCAAGAAAGGAAATGTTCATAACCTGAGGTTCACAACTCCCTTCACGGCCCTTGGAAGGCAGAAAAGCAGATGGCCACTTTTCGGCCGCCTATGTAAAATTGCTCCTCCGGTACCAAATAAAGCAAAAAAGTAGAATTCACGGTTATTGTCAAAACGTTCAATCCTCATTTCTGTCTGTTCGAAAGCAGAAAAATAGAAAATAAAAAATTGCATGTAACAAAGACGTAAACTCTGCTTTTCTGCTATTCTGGTAGCAGAAAAGCAGATGGCAACTTTTCGTCCTCCATAGATGGCCGCTTTTCGGCCGACAGCGAACGAAGAAAAAGTAAAATCTGCTTTTCTTGAATCAGAAAAGCAGAAAAAATGCGTAACCAAACAATGTCCGTTCTGCTTTTTGAGATGGTAGAAAAGTAGGAAAGTCGAACTTGCATGTTACCAGAACATAAAATTTACTTTTCTGTCATTCTGATAGCAGATAAGCAGATGGCCACTTTTCGTCCTCCATACATGTGCACCAGTTTAATACGAGAACAGGCATAAACGTCGACGATAAATAACCTCAATTCAAACTGTGGGGGGAAATTATTAGAAATTTCCAAGGTCTTCACAATAATCATTGCATTCAAGCTTAATGTGTTATCATTTTCCACTTTCTCTTCATTTTTTGGGGGGGGCCTAAATGACGGTAGTTTTTATAAATTTTTAACTGCGGGAACGATTACGGCCTCGCTCTGTAAAAATGCTAGAAGCACATTATACCCCCAAAAAAGGATTTATACTTTCAACATTTGCTCTCGAGCAGGCTCATCCAAGAAAGATCAGGAAGATAAAAATGAGTCGAACGGGACAAAAACATACTGTGCAGTGTGTTTACAAAGCTCGGGCTCCGTGTTCTGAAGTTTAAAAGGTCATTTTTTTTCAAGGGTCTTCATCCCACAGCTGCCACTTCTGTTTTTATAGTTTTTATTCGCGATGATATAAAAACGTCGCCGGGGTAAAACAAGGAACATAAACATCTGTACAAACGATGCATGTAGCTGGTTTCTGTTTTCTTACCTCCAAGGTAACCTATATAAGAACAAAGCTGTTATGATAAGCCCACCCTGTAGAAGTTCTTTAAAAAAAAAAAAAGATATACATGTACACGTATAATTTTATCAAGACGTGAAAGGGATCTGCTGCACGAACACCGCATTAAACTAGGGGGCGCTGTTCATAATACAGATCTTTATCAATGGTCGAGTTCGGGCAGCCTGTTCTTGACACGAATTTCTTGTTCTCTCATTCGAACGGTGGGAACACCACCTAAAATCACAGTTCTCGAAACTTGGGATCACGCACCACCACTTTGTCAGGGTTTTGCAGGAACGCACGGAAAAAAACTCATGAAATTTTGATTGTTGAACAGCCACAAAAATAGCGCGATGGCTTACACAAACCGAGACAAATGGGAAGTTTTGCAAAATTAACATTAATAGTTTTCTATAACACAGAAATGAATGCTCTTTTTAAATAGAAAAGAATTCGTCCCAGTTATCAACGGATCAACCCTCGAAAAACGTAGGCCTACGTGGACGCCGCCATGTTGCATGTTGCCTGCCAAAAACTACCAGCGATATATAACTGGTTGTACGTTACCGGCGTTCGAGCGACCGACCCACGAACAACAAATTGAGCTGTTCGTGAACATTCGAGAACAAGCCAGGCTATGTATCGAACAAGTTTCCGCTACCTTACCTGTCCATTTTGGCATTAGGAGAGTTCAGAATTACCTCAAAAATTTGTTTCACAAATATAAAAAATTGGGGCAAAGAGATGCCATACTTCGTACCATGGGCGGATCCAGGAATTTTTGCAAGGGGGGGGGGTTCAGGCCGGAGATTTTTTTAATGTCTCATTTTTGCAGACATGCGGGAACGACGATGAAACATGAGGCCTACTTGACATAGAGGCTGAGTTCGGGCGGCTTGTTCTCGTATGTTCAGGAACAACTCGATTTATTGTTTGTAAGTCGACCACTCGAACGCCCGGAACGTACAACCGATTGTTGCATGGAACATGGCGGCATCCATGTACGTTCTTTCACAGTAAACTTGGAAAGCTGGGCTGAATTCTTTTCTATTTAAAAAGGAACATTCATTTTTTTTTGCTATGGAAAATGATTTTTGTTAATTTTGTAAAACTTCCCATTGTCTTCGGCTTTGTGAGCCATCTCGCTATCTTTTGCGACTGTTCAAAAATCAAAATCTAGCGAGTTTTTCCTCGTGTTCCTGTAAAACCCTAACGAAGAGGTGGTGTGTGATCCTGTTCCGGGAACAGCGTTCTTGGGTTGTGTTCCCGCCGTTCGAGCGCGAGAACAAGAAACCCGTGTTAAGAACAGGCCGTCCGAACTCGACCACAGTGTTTTGAAATTATTTCCCCATTTTTTAAAAACTTTTTTGTTTTCAAAACTGGATCCGCAGCTGCATACTCTCCGTCAAATTGTGGGGGGTAATTGCCCTATACCCTGGGTTTTACGCAGATGTTTCTGGCTACGCGAACATGCGCTAGTCCGTGGGCTGGGAGGGGTTTCACCGCACGCCAGAACCAATCGCCACCGGCATTTTTTTTTCCTTTGCATGCTCGCATCAAAGACTCGCATCAGAAAACATCAATGTGCATCCAAAATGCTCGTATAATTTTTTTTGGGGGGGGGACCAGGGTTTGCGGGGGGTGGTAATCAATTGGCTATACTATGACCTACATATTCAGGCAGGCATATGCAGTTCGAGACGGCGAGAGGGCGCGCGTGTCAGCTTGTTGGCGGTACAGTACGCTGAAAATACTGCCTTAGAGGGCGCTGTGTAATCAACATTCGTGCCGCAGGTTGGAGATCCTGACCTCGACATGTCAAGGCATGCAGCTAAAAACCGAGGGAAAATCTCTATCGATATAAGTTGTTCGATAGTGTTCGTTCGGACAAACTGAGGCAGGGAATAGCTAACACTTCACAGAATACAGAGTAAGTATACCATCAGTATGAGTTGATGACTAATTAGGCCAAACGATATTGTTTATTGAATGGACACCACATTTTCAACGCAGTCGCACGATTACTTCATCGTGCGCCTGATTTCCGGACATAAGAATTTGTTTAGGTCCTATAGTCCGAGTAAGGACCTTATAAAGGAAAGAGTTCCATATACGGACGCCACTTGACACCCTGTGCACAATCCCTACGGAACTGGTCCGAAAAATTCTAAGTGTTTCTAAGTAAACGACTTGTTTGTTTTCCCTCCTCGTCCTAAATTAAACTTTTCTGGACATGTTTTGCCTTTCTGACAGCCACTGACAGCTGATAGATAAGGAATAATTACTGGCATCCGTATATGTGTCTCTTCTCCCCTACAAATCGTGTTTTGAAATATTTGGACATTACCGGGCGGTAGTAGGGTCTTACAACTTTCCATTAATTAGTTTTACTCAAATAGGCTCAGTCATAACGTCACGTAGCCCCAATCAAATAATCGTCAGATTTTGTAATGCATCTGACTTGTCTGATGTTACAATACAAACAGGTCATGCAATTAAAATCCCAGTACAATCTAGGCCTGCATGTCTTTTGCTGGTCCCTGTACTTGTGTCGTCAAACCTATGTGAAGTACGGTAGTATAATAATAAGCAACAAGTCCAGCAAAGATTTGATTTTGAGTTGAACAGCTTGAGCCTGAATCCAAAACACTGGTCAGTTCTGAGTGAATGTGGATTAGCATGTAAAAGATGAGCACTTCTTCACAGTTCACAGAATGCAGCAAGGAAGTGATCCAGGAAACATAGGAAATGAACTGCTGTCTTTTCCTCTCTTTGCCATTTTTGTCTTCAGTGTGATCATGGACAGCCTCCCGTTTAGTCAGTCGGGGCTCGGCACCCAGGGACAGGACCCCTGCTTTGTGGTCATGAACTCCCAGGTTGAGGAGTCTCAAGATATGGCACAGGCGGTTAAGATGAGCAACACAGGCATGACCGGCCCCAGCAAACAACGGATGCTGTGGGAGCTGGCGGCGTTGAGGGGGACTCAACCGAGTCCGGTCTTGGTAAGGGAGTTGGGAGGAAAGTTGAAAGAGAAGAGTGAGGCTTTCCAGAGGAGTGAAGGTAGAGGATTATTAGGGTAAAGAGAATTGTTTTCAGGAACTTTTTGAAACGGCAAAAAAGGTAACCATGGTATTGGTATCCCAAACCAAATAGTTCATTTTCTGACATTTACCATAGTGCGAAATTGGCTAAATCAGAATAACTTTCAAGGGCGGATTTTCTGAGCTCTTGTTCTTACGTGTTTTGTTGTTAATTATCACCATTTATTAATGACTTTTAAAATTCTACAATTATTGTGTGGACTCGGCCCTTGAGCAGTTCTGCTATGACAGTCCAAAAATAGATTAACTTTGCTTTCCTTTGACCCTGCCTTTTTTTTCACTCAATAACTAGACAGCAGCTGGAAACCTTATTGATAGCAACCCAACATCATCAAAGTCAAAAGGTGGGGAACATCAGCAAAGCAAGAACTTTAAGGCACGAGAAATGGCAGGTATGTTCAGTGGCCAAGAATTGACTCTAATTAACCCCTTAACGTCGGGATTCTTTTGATCACGACTGCTGGGCTGCTGTATGCCCAGAATGCAAAACTCTGTCCAGCAGCAGGCCCACATTGAAACCGCAGCTGCATGGTGAATAGAATGTATATGTGGTATGTACCAATCCTCACACAAAGCCGCGGCTGTCGATGGTTCCGATGGGAAGGGTTAAATAAAACAATCTGCTATAAACAGTACGGACCTTAGGGTTATTGTCATTTAGTACTTCCTGAAGTCTGTTTTTCAAATCCTTCTTAAATTTTACTGCTTCGTGCTTATCAGGTTGATCTCAGTGTACTGACTTTGTGGAAGGATTGTGATCCTGATCGGCAAAATTCTTGGTACTTTTGTTGCAGCAGTGTTGCATTGTTTAAACATTTTTTTCTGGAAGATTCTTTTGCTCCTTTCACTGAACCTTTTACTGTCTGTTACCACTGAAGGATCACAGCCCACAAACCCACAAGAAGGCGGAAGCCAAGCACCAAACCAAGGTGCCAATCAACCGGGCAGTGCTGGAGGAAATGACGGGACTGGTGGTAGTAACCAGGGCGACGATGGGCAGGATGCGGCTGATGGAGCCGCTGGAGGTGGAGGGGATGGTGGGAGTGATGGAGGCCAAGGAGGAGGCGGAGAAGGGGACGAGGAAGAGGAGGAGGAAGACCAAGAAGAAACAGGGGAGGAGACATCTCAGGACCAAGACACCAGCAGTAGCCGCAGGTGAAACTCAAGGAATGTCCTAAACCACAGCTTGGTGTGTGGCTTCAGAGTCAGGCTTTCAGTTTTAGACGTTTCGTCGCCTAGTACGACACCCTTCAAGGTTACTGCAGTTAGTGCAGTGGAGTTGAGTTGTATGACAGAAAGGCAAACTTTGAAGTCCTTATTTTACTGAGGTTTAACAGAACATGTTTTTTGGAGCCCAAGGTGAAGCCAAAACCTGAAACCAAGCTAAGGCTTGGAAATGGCCTTACTTAAAAAAACTTGACTCATTGGCAGTACAGTTCTGATGATCCTGCAATGTTACCTTGAATTAAGCTGAAGTCAAACGTTACAAATAGAAAGTAGGAAACAGCTTCAAATTTAGAGGGCACCTGGGCCTGATATGTTGATTCTGGCTTTGTCTCTAAGACCTAAAAGATTTAAACCTTACATGCAGGAACATCACAAGAATTTAGTCTTTCGCCTTGGTTTGGTTGTTGAAAGATTTTGATATTTAAAACAGATTTCATGGGAAAAGTTTATGAGAACTTACAGGTGGCTCCTATTTAATATTCCACGCACTGAACGTGTCTGAATGGATTGTGTGTTTCTGGTACACGTATGTCTGCAGTTCGGTGCCCAAGTTGGTCCCACCTCCAGCTCTCCGCACACCACCCAGGACAGTCCGAGTCAAAGAGATTGTTGAGGGAGCTAGTGAGAGTCCAACCACATCACCAGGTGAGTCCAACTTGTTAAGGGGGTTCAGGTGGTCGTTCTTTGTTTTCAGGTATGAGGACAGTCACTGTCCAACTGGAGGAAAGTTTAGAGAAGAGCACTTCATATTTTAGCACCCCTCCACATCCATTTATATACAATTAGCTGCAGCTGTCCAGAGTCGTAAATTGTATAAAAACAAACTAAAGTTTTCAAATACAGATTGAGTGCAGCGTGTCATTCATCTTATTAATTGAACAGGTTTGTCAGGAAAACAGGAAGGATATAGTCTCAACGGACTGCAGGCAATTCAACAGATATGCCTACTTACAGAGTGTCCATAGGAATACAGCAGCTTAATGGCCCAGTTAATAGAAGGAAATCAAACACTGTTTATGCACCTGTTGCAGGCCTCTTGAAACACTGCATATACACATGCACATGTTTTAAATGTGCAATATGCACCTGTTGCAGGCCTCTTGAAACACTGCATATACACATGCACATGTTTTAAATGTGCGTATATACATTTGAGTATTAAAACAAGTACGTGTTTCATTTTCAGATGCACCTGCTGGCCCTGAACAGAGCGACAATGACCAAGGAGCAGGTAGTGAGAGAGGAGGTGGCGTCAGTGATGCCCCCACGGCGGTGGTGGGAGATATCACTGACGAGGGGCAGGGGGCAGCCTCGGACTCCTCACCTCCCGAGGAGAGGAGAGGAAGAGACAAACAGGCCGGGGGTTCGGGATTGATGGACCCTCCGTTGCACTCTGTTGTGTCCAGGAAGGGATCTTCAGGTATGCCGCAGTGTTCCACTCATTCAGAATCTTATTTCAGATAGATTTTTCAACTTCAAGTTTTTAAGGAAGCCTATCAGCCTAAACTGGATCACAGTGTTCATGCAATCTTAGGTTTATGTTTTTTACTGTCTGCGGGTTAGGCTTCAAACAAACTTTCTTGTACGTTCTTTGGGCAGTCGTTTCTGTCAGGATAACTTCTCACTAGTTGTGGACCTGTTTCCCTCAGAAAGTCCTCTTTTTACAAAAATAAAGGATTGAAGAGTTATTTTGGGTAGGGCATTGCCGGAAAATGTGATATTCTAACCAATAGGGGTAATTGAAGACAGAGGAAGTATTACACGAGAGTTGAGCCTTCCAAGAATCTACTGTCATTTCTCCAAACCCTGTCCAGCTGAAATGAGTACGCATCATAGTCTTTTGAATGTAGTGTTCAGGCACACGTAGAGACATTGTCCTTAGTTAGAAGAGATTCCTTGAGCAGACTTTGCGAAAGCAAAGTGTGTTTTTTATTTTCAAAAATATAAAACACACAACAGGCTTTTGGATGCGGTACATCTTCAGACAGGATGTCAATATGCTGTCTGCTTTTTGGTGATCAGTTTTCCAGCTCTTTTTGATAAACCATCAAGATGTTGGTTTGGGCATCTTGGTTAACACTGCGGCATTCAACAGCCTTAACCATTCACTTTATTGACAGCAAAGACCAATACGATTATACAGAATCGTTGCTCTTGTTCAAAGTAATCAGTTCATTTGAATGAGCAAATTTTTTTTAGCCTTGCAAATACGCGGCATTGATAAAAAGTGCCGCATTTTTTACCCCTTCTGTATGATTTTAGAAACTAGTCATTCCAGCAGCAGTAGTCATATCAACAGTTCCAGCAGCTACCGTACGTCACATGACTCGGCATCGAGCAGTCTCTCCAGCTCCTTATCGGCAGCTTCATCCAAAAGTGATGGAGTGCCAACCACATCCTCGTAAGTTGCCTTAACATCACAATATACACCCTAGGGTAAGTTAGATCAAGGACCATAGTTAACCATAGTTCGACTAACTCTGATCGAATGCACGCTAGTCGACGATAGTTGGACTAGTCTAGTCAACTATTTGTGACCAGCCCATCAAGGTTGGTCGCATCGTTTGTTGGCATAAAACCAAATTTGAATAACACGGTGTAGAGAGGACAAGTTAGAAGAAATATGCCAGAAAAACAGTACGTCACTAGTAAATGACCATTTTCACTTTTATTTTTGCTATTTTGCCCTTTCTCTGGCCACCTTTTTTCCCCTTTGGCCTAATGACCTGACTACTGTTGACAAGGGTCATTTG